GGATACACCTTAAACATGTAGATTCTGATATTGAAATTATTAAATTATTATTAATAAATCAACTAAAAATGTGTTTCAATAAGGGCATTTTATTAATTTTAATATTAAGATTACTTTTATTTTTAACATGCAACCTAGACTGAAAATTAATTCTGTTATTTCCTTTTGTTTCAGAAACTCAAGACGCAAGACATTAAAAGTTATAATTTTTTTTTTTTGTTTTAAAAAAACATTACAATTCTGAGGAGGTGGAATCGAACTTGCACCTAAGTAAAGGACATGTTAAATTTCTGGAAAGTTTCATGTTAGAATTTCTTGAAACCGATAGCATCCTTTATTCTATATCCTTAACTTTTGTCAACCATATCATTTGGCAATGGTTGTGTTGCTTCAATGCATAAAAGATTAAGAACTGAGATACTTGCAAAATCCCATAAGCCCATATATGACAAAATGAGGGGCCACCACTAGCACATAAAGTTAAAGAAAAAAATTGTCCTGCTTCTCCACCTTGGACAGATTCCCTTTGATTTATTACGGTATCAAAGAAAGGGCCAACTGCTAACATTGGTCCAAACGTTTTGTGGATCCATCTGCACAAGTGAGTTTTTTTATCCCCTTTTACCGACATGAATCTCAATAATATTTCACCCCCCAAAAAAAGGAAAAAATCTCATTTTTTAGTCTTTACAACTTTTACTCATGTCACTTTATCTACAAAATACAAATAGTTGAATATCTGTTAATTACAAAAGTTGTTAAAATCACTGATTTATTTTTTTTAAATAAAACAAAATTACATAATATATACCATTGAATGAAAGGAGTTTCTTAATAATAAAAGTTGTTTTTTATTCAATTATTTTTGTTTTATAATTCAAATTACAAAATAAAGAACTCTTTACTTTATTCTACTTCCAATCTTTGTGTTGAAGGACTTGCACATATTCCCTTAAAAAATATCACTAATTGACAATATTTTTTGATTTTGGGTTGGAAAATACGGAAGCATCCTCCTCCCATCTCTAAACCCACTTCACCTATATATTATGTAATTCGTCACATGTCATATAATTTGAATTTAAAACTTTTTATTTCTAAAAAAAAATTATAACGGAATTATTGAGGTCATTCGCCACTGTTTGACAAGTTAAGCAGCACATATTCATCTGAAATTAGATAAATTAGGCAGTAAGCAGGAAGGAGTTTCAAACATAATTAAACAGAAGATTATATCTGGCACATGATCTCGGCAAACTTTAGAACCTAAAATCTCTGTTGGGGTTCACAATCTTCTTGTGTAGGTGTGGATTTCTTATTTTTCATGTTCATGGAATTGGTGTCCATCTTATTTATTTGTTTTGTGAAATGGTAGACAGCTAATTAAACAAGTGCTCCCACTTAAGTTTTCGGGTCAACTGGGCGCTCTACCAACTCAACTTAAGGTGCGTTCTCTTTTCTCCATAGACGAGTTTCGAACACACCTTGACAACTTGTTTAAAAATAAATAAATAAACAATAACTTAAAAGCTTGAGCCCAACTGCCCAAGTGACTAGACCCATTTAAGATTCAAACGTCAAGTCAACACAAACAAAACTGACCCAAATCATCAAAACCAAATGGCTTGTTTCGGTTTGCTGTGTCACCGATCATCGCTATCCTCCGTCGCTCTCACCGGAAACTATCTTCCATTTCAGGCGGCCGCTCTTGACCGACGCACACTCTCTGCAACTCAAGCCACAACCACCCCGGAGGGATTCTCCCCTGAACTCGAGCCGCCAGAGAAGACGAAGAGATAACCTGAGAACGGAAAGCAAGAGAGGGAGTGAACCAGAGAGCGGAAATCTGGGACCGAAGGGGGAACGAAGGGTACACGCTTGAAAGGTGAGACTTTTCCTTTGCACGTATGAAAATCTCGAGCTGATAATTCTTAGGGATTTGATGATGATTTTTGGATGGAAAATCATGCTCGAAAAATGCAGTTTGGTTCTAAGATAAAGCATTGTCCATTGTGCGAAATTGTGTTCTTTAGGCTTTGGCTTTTACTGTTCATTATTGACATTGTAGTTCTGAGGTACTTTTGCGAGGTTACAACTTACAGGTTTATAACACATTGGAATGCTTAGGTTTATAACACATTGGAATGATTTGGAAACGGAAAATGTTAAAGAGTAGTGTTCTGTAGGATGGAATGCTTAGATTTATTTACTTGGATAATACGAGAGGTAGAGAAGGGAAACTCCTACTAATGATATATGAACCAAAGGCATACAAGTATGGTGTGGAATTTCTGTTAGCTGCCATATCTTACAAATCTCTTATTTGATGCAGTTGTATAGTTTCCCAGTTTGGGGCATTTATTTCATATTTTAAATGGGTTTTAGCTTGCTGTTTTTCTTGCTAGTATCAGCAGCGCAATTGAAAGAGTTTTTTTATCTCTTTGTAGAAGTGAAATTACTATGTTATTGATTTCTAAGAGGAGGAGAGCACGTGGCAGCATGGAAAGCTTCAGTAGATTACCTGATGAACTTCTTGTGCGCATTCCCTCCGTCCTTCCCATGAAAGAAGCAGTATGTACCTCTGTATTGTTGAAAAGATGGAGGTATCTTTATATGGTTCAATTTCCAATCTTGATATTAATCTTGATTCCCCAACAAGTGAAAATGGTGATCGGATTGGTTTCTTGTATGCTGTGGATAGATTTTTCTTTTATGGTAATAGATGCCTTTTTGATAAGTTCCATATCAAATGGTTGTTCTCCATTGATCTTTTGCGCCTTCAAGGTTGGATAAATACTGTGATGTGGAATGGTATATGAGAGCTTGATTTATTCATTAGGGATATTGAGTTGAAAGAGCTGCTGCTGTCAACCTGTTTATTTACTTATGAGACATTGGTTGTTCTAAAATTGAGGATTTACTCTGAATCTATGTCTCCCGTGAATGTCCCTGCCAAAGTTTGGCTCACAAATCTTAAGGATCTTCATCTTAGGTATCGTATGTTTTCGAATGACTGTTGGGATAGGCTATTCCCTAACTGCCCTGTCCTTGAGAATTTGGTCCTCAGTTTCAGTGATGATAGCAGCGAAGTTAGTGTTTGTAGTCCCACTCTCAAGAGGCTGCCATGAAATCCTCTAATTCATTGTCTGATCGGGTTGGTTGTTTTGAGATTGTGATTAATGCACCAAGTCTTGTCTACTTGGAAAACTCTGTCAGTGATATGGATGTGGCTGCTCTTACAATTGTAAATGTCCAGTCGCTTGTTGAAGCCAACATTGATTTTAAACAATGGTCCATCAATGCAAGCCATTATGTCTCTGTTGCAACTGATCTTATGAGAGGGATGAGCAACATTCAGACACTCTGTATATGTGGTCCATTCCTAATGGTAGGCTTACTAACCCTCACCTTACTCCCGAAAGGAACAATTAATTGTGAATTGCCTACTTTCTTCTCTTGGTGATTTATCTACAGCCAAATATTTGTGGGTAACTACAACTTTTCTTTTGCAGAGTCTCCTTGGATTAGGTGTTACAGTTCCTGACTTACCTAATTTGATCCATTTGGCTATCTATTGCACAACTGGCTTCTCCTTGGAGGAACTGCCATATCTACTCCAATGTTGCGAGTCTATAGAAACCCTTGTTTTGAAGGTATGGAATCAAATAACTGAAATGATAGTTATGCCAATGTATGCAGAAATTATATATGATTGTTTTTCTATGTTTTCTGATCAGGGATGCTGTACGTGGGATTATGTAGGCTGGACCCTGCTTGAGGGCAATTGTTTGTCGTTTTGCCTAAAAACAATCAAATTTTTGGATTTGGAGCCTGGGATGATGAAATAGAAGCGGTGAAGTGTTTTTTGATAAGTGGAAGAGGTTTAGAGAGCATTGAGCTTCCTAATATTGAGGCAGAACTGAAAGAGTTATTACTAATGTCAGCAAGACCAAGAGGTTCAAAAAACTGCATCATTAATGATAGATGAGTGAACCATCGTTTTGTTCAGGGTATAAGTTCTATAACATTGCTTTTGGATGAGAACTCTTTGTACAAAACTGCAAATTGCTTAAGTTTGAAATTGAGTGAGCCAAGGAGGCAGTCCTGTTGTTCTGTGGTTTAACCACACTAGACCATTCAAGGGGGTTTTATTTGCCCTCTTTACCACTTAACTCATGCCTCCTCTGTTTTTCTTTTTTATTTTTGTTTGTATTCTTACATATTTTTAGATCCAATTCTGTAAAGGGACCCCTTCAAAAGCTTTGGCAACCCTTTTTATGCATATCTCTATTATCTACTTATATGCATTTGTGTTTAAAGTTGTTTATTTGTCATTTGCCTACCATCTGACTTAATTCTTCACAATATGCTGCTTTAAATGATTATTCCCCAGCATAAAAGCAAGTATTGTTTCCACTATCCTATCTCCAAAGGGGAATGAAAGATATCTTCTTTGTAATTTTCCATCATTGAATCTTTTCTCTTTTTAGTTCTTATTATCTTTTCTATGCATATATTTTTTAAGAAGTACGTGTAGAGAAGTAAATGGAAACCATCCTGGCTTTAATAGTTGAAACTATGTTGTACGTCTCAGAACGTTGACTTTGAAAATGCATTACATTGTTCAATGTTAGTAATAGCAAGCTTGATCAATCACTTCTGTTTGATTTCCCTTATGCGGCCCACTGGTTAGGCTGTGGTTAGGCTGCGCTCCTCAATGAGGCGCAGGTGAAAATCACCCTTGTCTTAAATTCGAACCCTCATGTTTGTTAACAGATACTAACACAATTAGACTAACCAAAGCTTTTACAGTAAAAAAAAACAAAAAAAAATCACTTCTGAGTTTGGCAGAGATGGGCAGGTCTATAAATAGATGAAGAAGGTAGGGCTTAACTCATTTTTCTCCTTACTACAAAAGGGATTCAAAGTAGGGTCGATTAACAATTTTTTCCTTAAAACCTTGGCTTGAATCTCTTTATTTTCTTAAATTTTTTTTAAAAGCCATGGTAAGGCTCGTGCCCAACCATGGTGCCACTGTTAGCTTAGCCCTATCTTTCCCAAGCCCTTAATTATCAAAAGAAATAATATACATATATAGTAAGAAATAATTTTACAATATTAACGACGGTTAATTCAAATGAAAGAAATTTAATTTTATTTAAATAAGATTTTAAATTTAAATTTTGTAAATAGAAAAATAAATGTTGAAAGAGTTTTTTTTTTTTTGTGGTTTGATTTAATTAAGATCCAATATAACTTTCAAATGCTGAGAGATTAATATATATATATATATATAAAATCTTACAGTTGGAAGGATTTACTAAACAAAAAGGTTGAATATGTGCCAATTAACCAGAAGAGCGTGGAACCCTTTGTGTTGTACAAGCCATTTTTGTTACGTAACTGTCATTCTCAAAAAAAAAAAAAGAAAAAAGAAAAAAGAAAAGAGAGAACAGTTTTGGCAGATGGAAAACTTCCTAAAATTCACCCCTTCAACGCAAAAGAATTGGAACTGCACCCTTCACTTATACAAACTGAAAAACCTCCATTCTTAATTTGTCACCACGACAATCAATGAGACAATGAGTTTTCTATTTAATGTAATTACAGCAAAAGCGAAGCATTAAATACAATCTCAATTAAAAAAAAAAATTGTGCTCCATATGAAAAATATAACTCAGCTTAGAAGTACCAAAAGTATTTTTAACAATGAAAAATTATTTAGTAGTTTGAATTATATTAAAGTATAAATTTTATTAAATAAAAATAACTATCTATTTTTACAATCCATATGAAAACATTTTTTTAAAACATAAACCCTGGAGAGGACAGTTTTCTAAATGAACAGTTTATTAATTCAGAAATAGGCCATCTCATTCCCAGTTTAGGAGTATTGAAGTCTATAAATACCATTTTGCTGAATAATTTGGAATTATTAACAATGACAGTTGTGTGTCTTTACACAGCCCACTTCCCCCCTATTCTCTTTCTTGAAGGTGGAGAGGGTATGTCATCAGAATCCATGGGTCTGAAACATTAATGTTTCCTGGGTTTTTCCAAAATTTCACTCTCTTTGTAAATTCCGCTTTCTTTTCTTTTTAGAAAGTCAGCAACTTTAGAGCAAAATGAATGTTAAGAGTAGAGAGGTTGCTTCAAGGAATGTTAGTTCAAGAAAATGGGTTCTGGTGCTTTGTTTTGCCAGCTTCTGTACTGGAATGTTCTTCACTAACAGGTAATTTGCTTCTGGGGTTCTGTTTTCAGCCCTCAATTTCCAGTTTTTGGTTCCTGTGGTGGTTTCTCTAACGCAATTTTGCATTCTTGTCAAGTGGGTATGATTGAATTCTGAGAGTTTGATGGATCTTGGTGAAGGAATTTTGAAAAAGTTGTGTTCTTGAATTAGTAATGCTTTGATAATGTGCGTTTATTCCTGGAGTTGCCAATAATTTTGTGTCGGCAGGAAGAAAGAACCATTTTTTTTGTTCAATTTACTGTTCATCTCTCACTTAGTTTGGATACATTACTTGGATCATGGCTGCAGTGCATTAGAACCATTTCTGTAGGTTTTTTTGCTGTCCTGAATTTGGGCATTTTGTAACTACATTAGGGCAAGTCCACCTTTTTATTTTTCCATGATTATATTCTGTAAACAATCTTCTGCTAGGGGAAGCTATAATTAGTTGGACCAACTCAGGAAGTTATTTTCAGACAAAAAAAAAGATTGCTGCATTGAAGCCCTAGTCTCTGAATACGAGATTATTTGGGAGGTCTTACCCTGTCTGTTTAGTTACCTCATCTGTTTAGGGAGTGAATTTAGCATCACTGGATGCTGAAATGAAAAGAATCCATCACCTTATACCATAATTTGATTAACTGTTTTTTGCAGGTTGTATTGAATTTACTAAGCTTCTTTTATTACTGTTTACAAGACTGCTTACCTAAAGATAAATATTTGCTGTTTCTCATTGACATAGTGGTAAACTGCATCTCAAAGGCTGTTTATTTTTAGTACATGCATGTCATTTTAATGAAGTGTTTATCAGGATGGTACCTGAAACCGAAGGTGTTCAAAGAACATCTAGAACTAATGAAGATGAAAGTTCAAACTTAAAGTCTGGTGATTGTAATCCTAAACTTGTGAGTGTTTTTCTTCTTGTCATACTCTTGCAGTTTATAATAGTAATTCAACCTTCAAAACTGAATCTTAAATTTGCTTTGTATCTTTTACCCCATTGATTGTAATAATTCTTTATGAATTCCTGTTGCCATAAGAAGGTTTTATTGAATAAGGCCAGCAACAGTTCAGGAGATATTTCATCAGCCCAGAAAGCTATTCAGTAAGCAAAGCTGCTGGCTGTTAAAATTTGATTTGAGCTACTGATTTATCATAAATACCCTTAAATGCAAACTGGTTGCTTTGTATGAAATGCAGGTCACTGGATAGAACCATTTCAGATATAGAGATGGGACTAGTGGCTGCCAGGGCAGAACGTGAGACAGTGATCAAAGATTCCCTGGCAATGGGAGACTCACAAGCCATTGAATCAAACTTCAAAAAGAAATACTTCATGGTTATAGGCATTAATACAGCTTTTAGCAGTCGGAAGCGAAGAGATTCAGTTCGTGCAACATGGATACCACAAGGTGTATTAATTATTCTTATATTCCTTAAATCATTTTCAAGATATGTTATTTGCTGTTCTTATTGATTTATAGTGAATGCATTATGATAAACGTTATCAGGTGAGAAGCGGAAAAGGTTGGAGGAAGAGAAAGGCATCATCATACGCTTTGTTATAGGCCACAGGTGATTACTAATTTACCATTTTCATTTCTGCTGTCAATCCTGGCCACAAGTATCTGATCATCTAATAGATTTTTTGTAGATATTATACTTACTTTGATTTCTTTTATTTTCATCATACGCTTTGTTATAGGTCACAGGTGTTATATGTATCTGATCATCTAATAGATTTTTTCCATATGCTACTCCTTGCACAACTGCATATAAAAGATTCCCTAATGAAAAGTATTATGAATATGGGTTTCATATGGTTGATGAATTTTGAATGTTTTGTTTTTGGTTTTTTGTTTTTTTTAATGTCCCATACATAAAATTCTACAACCATAAACTATGAAATAGAAAAACTAATCAATTTTTCTGTTGTGTAGTTCAACATCAGGTGGTATTCTCGATAGAGCTATAGATGCAGAGGAAAAGGTGCATGGAGACTTCATGAGACTGGTGATGTTTCCCTCCTATCTGTCTGCTCTTATCCATCTTTTTTGACTAGCCTTAAAATATTTCTTCATTTGTCTTTTTCATTAGCAGCAACATATTGAGGGTTACTTGGAATTGTCAGCCAAGACCAAGACTTATTTTGCAACTGCTGTTTCCTTATGGGATGCAGAATTTTATGTCAAAGTGGACGACGATGTTCATGTAAATCTTGGTAAGATGAATGTTCTTTCATTCTACATTTCTATAGATGGTGATAAGTCCTTTTCAAATAAATAAGAATAGGATTGAACCAGGATCCATGTCTTGCGGTTGGAACCAACAAACTTGAACAAATGCCAATGCAATTTAGAAAGTTCAGATAATTGTCCTTCTTGTGGTTTATTGAAAACATTAAGAAATTCTAAATAAATGCCCAATCCATTTTAGAGATAATTGTCCTTGTGTTTCATTGAGTTGATATGCTTTAAATTTTTAACAGCAACACTTGGAATGAATTTAGCTGGACATCAAAAGCAACCTCGGGTCTATATTGGTTGCATGAAGTCTGGTCCTGTTCTTGCTCAAAAGTAAGCAAAGTTTTCGTTGTCTAGGTTGACTTTATATTTACATATTGGTAATTTTTAGTGGTTCTTGAACCTTTCTTTATGATGGACCAGGGGAGTGAAATACCATGAACCAGAGCACTGGAAATTTGGTGAGGTGGGGAACAAGTATTTTCGTCATGCAACTGGACAACTCTATGCCATATCAAAAGATTTGGCAACATACATATCAATAAACCAGTAACTTCCTACTCTCTGTCCATTGGCTTGATTTCTAGTCCATTTTAATGAGTCGCAACACACATGACTACCAAAATCTTAGCTACCTTAATCATGTTATAATTATTGTTTTCTTAATAATCTTAGGAATGTGCTGCATAAATATGCAAATGAAGACGTTTCATTAGGATCTTGGTTTATTGGTTTGGATGTGGAGCATGTGGATGATAGGAGATTGTGTTGTGGAACTCCACCAGGTAAGTCAATTGATCTAATACAAGTTACAAGATGAGAAGTGTATTTGTTATTACAGAGCCGATACTTTTTTTTTTTTTGCGCCCCTCAGATTGTGAGTGGAAAGCTCAAGCAGGTAACATCTGCGCTGCTTCATTTGATTGGAGGTGCAGTGGGGTTTGCAGGTCTGTAGAGAGGATGATGGAAGTTCACAAACGATGTGGTGAGGACAAGAATGCATTATGGAGCACAAGCTTCTTGGAAACAACAAGCAGTTCTTCCTGAATTCGCACCCGGGGAAGATAGACAAGAGACAGCATGCTTAGAGATGGATGTTTTTCCTTCTTCCTTTCCCACTCAAGCAGTCCAACGGTGTAGAGATTAGTTACCAGAAAAATGCATATCACGGTAAGAAAAGAGAGGAGTTACTTCTCCATTTCAGCTGAGGGGACTACCCCCCAAAGCAATAGGAAGTAGAAGAGAAAGTGACTCAACCCATTCTTTGAATGGTGGAGGGCTACGTTTTAAGTTCTCTGCCATCACCATGAGATCCATAATATGTATTAATCTTTGTGGGCAGCCTTTTACTGCCTCTTTCTTCAATAAATAAATAAAATCATGCATGCAATCATCTTTCTAGTAAATAAAAGTATGCATGCAATCATCAATCTCTCTTTCTCCCAAAAGACGTCTTTTTGTTACGATCCCAAAATCAAGCCTTTGATTAAGCAATCACAGCACACTAAACAGATCTTGTGGGGGCAAGGCAAGGCTCAAACTTGTATCCTCAAGGCCTTGGCTTGTTTTCTTCTCGTAGGTGTATGATATAAGATATCTCTCTTATTTCCTAAATCCCTTATTACTTATTTCAAGGGCTGAATCAAAACCCTCTTACTTGGCTCTGAAGAGGGTTAGGTTGTAATAAGTTTAAACACTCTTTAAAGGTCTCCACCTATCATTTGATTACTAGACCAATGTCTCATTGAAGCAACAATTTTTTTCTTCAATCAAGGACATTTTCTTTTATAAACCAAACAATTTATTAGAAACACGACAAATGAACTCAAATAAAACACCCTAAAATGAAAAAAAAAAAAAAGAAAAGTATTTGACCTCAAGTTTTCATTACATAACCCACTTATTGCATCATAAGAATCACCAATTGAAAAAAAAAATGATTTACACTTCTAGTTCTAGATATAGATTTGTGATTTTTTTCTTTGAAAACAATCCTTCATAAGATGGCAACATAAGAACTACCCCCTGCCACTTTGTCAAAAAAGCAGTGGAGCCTTCCAAAGAGGAAACTACTACAATAAAAAATTCATTAATATAGCTTAATCTATATTAACTACCCCAACTCAAGTCCCCCTGGATTTAAACATCTGTAACTATCATTTATTGTTTTTTTTGTAGAAAACAAAGTATATGTGGAAATCTCCCGGCCCCCCAACAAAAAGGGAAAACCAAAAAGGTTGCCTTAGAATTGAATGGAAGATGCATGCAATCACTCAACAGATGAGATAGTGTATGAGCATCTTTAGAAACCTGCACTTGATTTCATTCAAAATCTACATAAAACATGAAATGTTGTATGGAAATTATCAAGGATGACCAAGATTTGAACATTTCAAGGTGTTCCAGAAATCATAATATTCATAAAAAAAAAATGTTGTAGAAAAATACAAAAGGAGACATGTACATACCTTGGAAATTGTTAGCTTTTTGTACGTGATATTGGCACGGCTCAATCAAATAACAAACTCTGTGTTTAGAGTGATGCTCTCTGATTGAACCGCACCAATATCTCGTACTTATAGATATCTTTCCATTTCAATCCTTCATACGCACTTACCTTGATCATATAAAGTTGATGCTGATGAAGAAGAAGAAGAAGAAGGAGATGGGTAAAAAGGATGAAGAAAACAAAACTTATAGAGAGGATTGAGAAAGCAGGAGGAAGAGGACGTTGGGAAATGTCTTCTCATGGAGTGAAGAAGGGTGTCCTGAGAGATTCTCATATCTT